TCTGAGAAGTTATAGCAATATTGAATAAATATTCTACTTGCCTGCCAAAAAATAATCATGGTTTTATAGCCAAGACTGAAATCTCTGTCTAAATAACTATATGCACAAGAAAATAACCAGATGGATCTTAATTTCTTTTAACATGCTGGCCATCTTCTACAATGACAGGGTGACCCAAAAAAAACATTTTCACCATCATTCACACTATCACTGTCTTGCCAAATACTAAATGTCAAATACAAAATGTAAAAAGAAAAAAAAACTCATGCTCCTTTTTTGCATCAACCTGCGTAAAAAAAAAAAAAAAAAAAAAAAAAAATTCCAGTCCAATAGTTATTGTGAACAGTGAAACATTAATTTTCAGAATATTAATTTTCACATCTAATAGTGAATATCAAACCTTAAGTTGGAATATATGAGAAAAGATGTCTTCCATCTTCATCCAGTCACTGAGGCTCATGCTTGTGTCTGTCCATATCCAGTCCATCAATGTCCGCAGCTCAAACAGGAACGGCACCGACATGAACCTGTCCATCAATTGTATTCATGATTGAAGAAGTCAAAAGTTTATACAAAGTTTGTACAAAGATGGGTGACATTTGGTTGTAAATGCAGAAAGCCCATGACTATGCAGAGTCTTTTGGGCAAACAAAGCTAATAAGCAACTTAAATGGGTTAATTAAAAGTTTACTGGGTAGCAAATATTAATTTTATTCCAAGTTTGTTTTATCTTATTCAGATTAGTGTATATATATGGTAGTGTTTAGCCAAAATATAAAAGTAAATCGCTAATATATTTATAACAAGATTTGATATCTATGAAAAAGTACTGATAAATATTTATGGAAGAATGTCTTGAAGTGAAAATTATGTGAGATATCTAACAAGTTTTCTATAATACAATTCAGTACCTGTTTTTATTCTTGGAGCTACAAAAAGATTACTTTTTACTTTCACTTTTAAATATTTCTTTACACAACAGTAACTTGTGTTTCAGATATACTTACAGTCGGAAGGAGAAAAGATTGAGGTAGTTAAACTGTTTACAGAGGAAGTTGCCGAGGATTCGTGTTGGGTAACCACAGCGAATCTGGTAGGCTGACAGAAGCAAGTTGAGACACTTCACCATATACCAGATCTGAGGTGGCCGCTTGGCATTGGACTCTCTGAAAAACAAGTTGCAAAAAATGTTATCAAAACTCATTTACAAAGTGTGTTTCTTTGGAACTCCATTTAATAACATACTGTAATATGTGGTCTTTCAAAATGACCTTAAACTAGATGACAGCCCCCTAGGCCTCCCTGCACTCCAAACTTCACTAACAGTAATGAAGTGAAGATAACTAAGCTTACTTGTCAAGCACAAATAACCTGCACATACAAGAAACTCATGACGATGTTTTGGTCATACTTGGATTATTAACTAGTTGCACCAGTGTGTGTGATTAGTTAATGGTCCAAGTCAGACTGAAATGTAGTCAAGAGTTCCTTTCTCACACGTGTGGGTTACCTGTGTAGATAATGATGGTACATGATAAAGCCTCCACTGGGTGAAACATTGTATTAATATAAGGTGTTTTTATAAGTAAGTAAGTAAGTAAGTTTATTCAGGTATACACAAATACAGTTACATAGAATTATCATACATAGCAGCATATGTGTAGAGAACCTAGGATAACCCAAAAAAGTCAGACAGAGTTGACTTATTTCCATTGGGGTCCTTTTACCTTATTATTATAATATAAAGGTTATAATATTTTCTTATTATTCTACAATGAAGATAACAAGATAAAAAGAAAAGTATCTTTTTTATACCACAAATAAATAGGGCATTCATTCACCACAATGAATGTGTAGCAAAACCTGGACATTAGGAAATTTCTTTAAATTATTATTATTATAATCAATAAAGAAGCGCTAAGCCTCAAGGGCTATACAGCGCTGCAGGGGTACGGGAAGGAAGCAAGGGGAATTGGATGCAGAAGGGAGGGGGGGATGATCAGCAGGGACAGAAAAACAAGGAGGGGGCGGGGATAGTACGGGGGTAGGGTAGTGGGTAGCAAGAGATACATGTAGAAAGGGCTGAAAGTATCAGAATTTGGGTAAGTCAGTCGTTGTCAAAATGTCAATGAGAGGAGTCCGGATATGAAAGGTGGGTCCACTCAGCGAGGAAGGGAAGGTAAAGATGAGAGCAGCGGTGCGAAGACGAGACAGAGGTAAATTCTGCGATGCTCGTTGATAAAGTGGGCAGCAGTCCAACAGAATGTGGCTGACTGATAATGGAGCTTGGGCATTTCACAGAGAGGTAGCAAGACGCCTCTCATGAGATATCCTGAGTAAGACGAGTTTGGCCAATGCGAGAGGGAGAGAGTAGTCTCCAAAACTCGACATGGTGATAAGAAGACGGCCAGTAACCTATACTCGGTTTAATAGACTGAAGTTTGTTGCCGAGAGAGCATAGTAGTCCAACGTTGTTGCAAAACGGGTGTGGTAGGTGGGAAGATATTTACAGGCAAAATAGTCCGTACATGGAATACCTCTATAAGAAACTGGTAGGTCATGTTATGTGAGCGCGCACAAGTGTCTGCCTGTTCATGTTGCCCTGTACGTCAACATGGACCAGGGAATTCCCAACAAAAAACAATATCTTATGCTTAGTAAAGTATGCGGCGTAGCCAAAGTTGGATTACGGAGGACTAAGGGGTGAGGTGTGTATCAAATTTTTGTTTAGCCTGTTAAAGCACTACGGGAGTTGAGGGAACAACCACAAATGAGTGACACAGGCATAGATGCGCCGCAATACGGATAAGTGCTGTATAAGGAGTGGCATATATATTCAGCAGTAAATATACTAGCTGAAGATAGTAAATGCCCTTGTACGACGCTGTCCGGAAACACTGTCTGCGTATCCTACGCCGTCAGAAGACTTAGAGCCATCTTTGTACACAGGCATGGATGGAAGTGAGAGTGGAAAGTGGTCAAGAAAAAAGAGCGGGGAAGCGGTAACCCGTAGACAGTTGGGCTTTGCGAGCAAGGGAGGCGAGATAAGAACAAACTCGAACAGCTGGAACTTGTCCCAGGGGGGTGGTAGGAAAAGTGAGATGCTACATGTACATAGAGAAGGTGGGTAGTTGATGAGAATGACCAAGAGCGAATGAAGGCTAAGTGAGAGAAGGGACGGGAGTAAGCAGGGGCGGCGCGAACAAATAAGAATTGTCTGACTTAATTCAGTGACCATTCTATAAATGGAAGGATTGCGGAGATCATGAGAGCGTACATAGTAGCGCAGGCAATGGGCATCACGGCGATCGGATAAGGATGGAACGTTCGCTTCTGCATAGAGGCTTTCGACAGGGGAAGAGCGAAAAGCACCAAGGCATAAACGTAATCCTTGGTGATGAATGGGGTTAAGGCTAGAGAGAGTAGCAGGAGATGCCGCTGAATAGATCTGGTCACCATAATCAAGTTTCGATAAATAAGGGTGGAATGTAGGTGAAGGAGGGTTCGACGATCAGCTCCCCACGAAAGATGAGCAAGGGTTTTAAGAAGGTTCAGCCGCTGTGACAAGTTGCCTTCAGAGAGGTAATGTGAGGTTTCCAGGATAACCTACGATCAAGAGAGGAGGCCCAGAAACTTGACTGTATCACGTTCAGGGATACGTGAGCCATAGAGGTACAAAGGATGATCAGAGATGACAGAGCGTCTAGTGAAAGTGATTTGGTGGGTTTTAGTGCTGGAAAATTTAAACCCATGTGTGGTGCCCAATTGGAAACACGGTCGACTGCATGCTGGAGAGAAACTGTAAGGAGGTGACAGTCAGCGCCTGCACAGGCAATAGCGAAGTCATCAACATAGAGTGATGACCAAATATTTGATGGAAGACTAGAGGCCAAATCATTAATAGCAAGGAGAAAAAGTGTTGTGCTCAGAACACATCCCTGGGGGACACCTTCAGCTTGGACAAAGTCCGGGGAGAGCACATTATTAACCCGAACACGGAAATGCCTGTCAGTTAAAAAGTTCTTAAGGAAGGATGGTAGATTGCCTCGAAGGCCTAAGGAGTGGCTTGGGCTAAAATATTATACCTCCAAGTTGTGTCATATGCCTTCTCAAGGTCAAAAAATATGGCAATAACTGAGTGGTTATTCGCAAAGGCATTACGAACATACGTATCCAAGCGCAGTAAGGGGTCTATGGTAGAACGTCCCTTACGAAAGCCATATTGACGAGTGGAGAGACTGTTGTGTGTCTCCTAAATACCACACTAAACGTCTATTTACTAGACGTTCCATTACTTTGCAAACTGCACTGGTAAGAGCAATGGGACGATAGTGGGAGGTTTCATGTCCCGTAGTGCCTGGTTTGCGGAAAGGGAGAACAATGGCGGATTTCCACAGCTGTGGAAGAACTCCTTGTGACCAAATAAGATTGTAAAGGCGTAATAGGACTGCAAGGGCTGACTGATGTAAATGTTGTAGCATACGAATATGAATGTCGTCGGGCCCAGCTGCGATGATCGACAAGCTGAGAGTGTTGCCTCCAGTTCTTGAAGTGTAAAAGGCACATTATACTGTTCTTCTCTGAGAGAAGAAAAGTCCAAGGGTGCTAACTCTCTGGCAGACTTTGAGGAAAGAAATGAGGGGCATAGATGGAGTCCCTGAGAAATACGGACCAGATGATTGCCAATTTCATTGGCAACATCTAGTGGGTTTGCTATATCAACACCGGCAACCCGCAGAACAGGAGCCGGTCAGGAGAATATTTACCACTCAGTTTTCGTACTTTTTTCCAGACTGCACTCATAGAGGAAGCAGAGTGATGGTGGAGACATAATCTCGCCAGCAAGTGCGTTTAGCGTCACGGATGACACGGCGAGCGATCGCACGCTTCTGTTTAAAATCAAGGAGTCCTCTGTGGTTCTATTGTACCGGTACCTGCCCATGCAGCGCGTTTCAAACGTACTGCACGAGCACAAGCAGGAGACCACCAAGGCCCACGAA